TTCTGCTTTAAACAGGCTACTCGTGGACGTTTTCTTGAACTCATGTTACTGTGATCCACCGTATTTGGAGGAGGCTGCGCCAAAGATTTATCATTAGTTGTGCTCTTCGTATTCGCCTCAGTAGACATCGTTTCGTATCTCCCTCACTACCTCGAAAAAAAAATTAAAACAAGAAAAACAAAATAACAACAACAACAACAAGAGAAAATAGTCCCACACAAAAAATCATGTTTACAGTACCAATCATCAGTACGACTCCAGAGAAAAAAGAGAGAATGCACACATCCCACTGTACTGCGGAGGACCCCCAACCTGAAATCAAAGAAGCAAAAAAAAAATTAAAAAAAAGAACCAGCTGCCACAGCACATAAAGTACTACAAAAGTTCATCCTTCCATAGTCACGTATAGGAAATTATCAATATATATATTTATATGTATGTATATTTTCTATTAATTTTCCTCTCTGGACAAAACAATCCAAACAAACGCAAATCAAACAAAAAGAAATTAACAGGTAGCCCATGTTCTACAGTAAACGGCCAAATACAACTACTATCAAGGCAAAACGTTGTAAACTTAATAATATATGTAAAAAAGTGTTTCTCTTATAAATATTTTTTCTCTCATTGCACAAGGCAAGCTGTCATTGGTGGAAAGAAAAGCATACAACATCCCAAAAACACACACACAATGAAGTAGCAATAAAAATAATTATAGTATAAACACAGAGAGAGCAAAAAAAAAAACACACACAAAACACACTAACATTAAGAAACAAAAAAGAAAAAGATAATCCCAACAGGTGGAAGATTAGTTAGACTGTAGGGATTGCATGCAAAAAAAGAAAAAGAAAACAAAGGATGACCTCAGTCACACCACCACCACCATCACACCACAATCAGCACACAAGAATACAGGCCAGTGTAACCACAATCAGTAGTGGCACACGCACCCACACAGAACTGCTGATACTGCTGCTGCTGTCTGCATCACCCTTCTTGTTGTTTGTGAGTTCAGGAGGAAGTGTTGTTGTTGTTGTGGTGGTGGTAGTGGTTGTATCTGCATTTCCGGCAACCTCTTCTTGGTTACTTGTTGATTCACTCCCTGCAGATGGAGTTCCGCTCTCTGTTGTTTCAGTATCCCCAGCTCCGTCACTCCCCGTTGTTGTATTGTTGGGAGAAGAAGAAGAATTTTGTGGTGCTTCACTTCCTTGGGTAGCCGCACTTCCACCCCCTGCATTGTTGCCGTCCCCTTCATTTTGCACCTCACCTCCACCATCAGCCTCAGTGGGATCTGCCCTAGGTTTAGCAGAATCACCAGGTGCTGGCTTAGCAGCAGTACCAGAAGCACCAGCAGAAGAACCGGAAGAGACGGTCTCACCATCTTGACCACGAAGAGCAGCGTCACCCGTTTCAGCAATTCCGTCACGAGGACCAGGAATACCATTATCTCCATGATGACTTTGAACTTCATGTGCTGCGGCAGGAGGAACTTCGTGGTTTTGAGAAGGAGCTGGTACTCTCTTCTCAGGAACCACCTCTTTAGGAACCTCTGGTACTTTTACAGGAGGAACTTCGGGTTTTTTAGGAGGAGCAGGCGGTACCTTTTTCTCAGGAACAACTTCTTTTGGTACCTCAGGTACTTTAGCTGGAGGAGCTTCTTCCTTTTTCTGACATGGCTTACCTTCAGGAAGTTCAGCACATTCAGTAGTATCTTCAGTGCACTGAGATTGGGCATCAGGAGTACCTTGAAGGCAAATCTTTGTCTCACTCTCCGTATCAGGGACTTGGTCGGAAAGATCGGCGGCAGGCACTTCTTCAGCGAGGACGTGCACACACGCACAGGAGAGCAGGACAGCGAGGATACACAGCACGTAGCGCATCATTACCATTGATCTTCCTTTTCCTGTTGTTTTTGTTGTCTTCCGTGTCACTTGAGTTCACCGATCTACGAAGGGAGTATGGAAAAAAGTAAAAAAGGGAGAGTGAGACATAGAGAGTGGATGCAGGACACATATACTCACAGTGAAAAAGAGAGAGTGGGATAGAGAGAGAGAAGCAGTGACTGCACAGTAAAGCAAGAAAAAGGAGTATCCTGCTTGTAGTGATAATAATAATATGTATCCATTAAACAGAAAAAAAAAGACCCCACAATACCCAAATAGGAGAGCGAGCCAAACACACACACAATACCCCATGGCTCTAGTTTATGTATATTAAATTACTGCACACACACACGCACACACATCTGTGTGTACTAGCAAGAGATGTATACCGTCAGTGAACAGAACAGCCCAGTTTTCTGCACACACAACGGAAAAAGCAAGTAATGGAATTATTAAAAAAAGAAAACACACACACACAAAAGAAAAAACAAAAGAAAAGAAATTCGAATTAAAAGAGAAAGCTAGTAAACATATTATTAGTTTATTTATTCACCCATGGGGATATACGCAATTATGATGAGATTAGGATAACCATTATTATTATTATTTGTCCTCAGATGAGTCCCACTGTTCAGTAAACAGTAAAGGAGAACAACACAGCCACGATCAGCATCGGTGCTGCAGTGCGCATCCACACAGGACTGACACTGCTGTCAACAATGGGTTTGTTCTTCTGAACAGTGGAGGCAATAGTGGTGATCTCTGAATTGTGTGGAGGAACAGGAGATGGAGTGGTGGTTGGTGCTTCTGTGGTAGTGTTCTCGGGGCTCGTCGGCAGAGTAGTGGAAGTGTTTTCTTGTGTGTCTGGTGTGGCAGTCGAATCAACAATTGCAGGTGTTTGCGTGGTAAGATTAGAGTCGGCAGGTGTACTGTTGTTAGTGGTGGTGTTATCAGCTGTGTTGCCCGATGCACCTTGATTATCTTCTGTAGAAGAACTCGCTCCTCTTTCTGCTGTCAACGTACTTTCTGCATTCCTACTAAGTTGTGCTTCATCACTCCCTGGTGTAATCGTATGTGTCACTGCTGTTTCACTCTCCGCAGCATTATGTTCTGAACCGGTGCCTTTCGACGTGGTGTGTGATGTGGGAGGACGTAGCGAACCTCCATCAGCACGTGTTAAATCTTTATCTTCATGCACATCTCCATCACTATGAAGAGATGGTTCCACCTCCTCTTCAGGATCCTTACTCTTTGTCGAATCAGGAAGACTGTGCTTTTTTTCACCATTCCTATGATTACGCCAATTCGTACAGTTCATTCCACTATCAGAAGTATCTTTTGTTTTATTAATACAATCATAATCATGGATTGCTGTTCCAAGAAAATCATTCCACTCCGGAATATCAGGACCCTTATTGGCCATCACCGCCTTTGGTTGTCCAGCATTAACAGTAGTATGAGCAGCAGCCGCCATCATTGTATACTCGCAGGCGCAGCACAGCACAACGGCCAACACACACATCACACGGTCCATCATCATCATCATCATGAGAGAGAGACAATAGTCTGGTTTGCGTAAAAACACTGATCTATAAAGAAAGACAATCAAAAAGTAAAGAAAGAAAATAAATGAAGTATCAAACATGTTAGGACACACAAATCCATTACCACTATGGAAACTCACATCACAAAAGGAAATACACAAAAGTTAAGTTATGAAATAAAGTGCAATAATCTTAGTAAGAGTAAAAACAAAAAAGAAGCCCACACTCACAAATATCTTTTAAAAAAGGCTGAACCACCCAGCAAAATCATCAAGCAAAGAAAAAGAATTAAACATTAGCCCAATTTACCCAGTAAACACAGAAATATACACCAACTATGGGTGTAAGTCTATATATATATGTATATACGCAATTATAAATATAAATTTATCAGTTAATATTATTTCTTTTTTTTACCTGCAAAAGCAGTTCATCATCATTATTACAGTGCAAAGCCCAGGAGCACACATACACACACACACACACACACACAATGGAGCAGCAATAATAATAATTATAGGATAAACACGATGAGAGCAAAAATACACAAAACACATTAACATTAAGAAACAAAAAAGAAGAAAATCCCAACAGGTGGAAGATTAGTTAGATTGTAGAAATGCATGCAAGAAAAGAAAAAGAAAACAAAGGATGACCTGAGTCACACCACCACACCATCACCATTACAATCAGCATACAAGAATACA